AAGACAAGATAATGTAAAAATTATATTATAACTTAGTGGTTTTCTGCAACCACTGTAGAATAAGCCGTGACTACAACATTTCTTAGCCAGGAAAAGGCTGGAGTGAGCGAGACACGTTTGGCGAGCTCAGGGATCTCTCATTAAGAAAGTTACAAAAAGCAATCTAACGGGAAAAAGACCAAGAGGCAGACCTCTGCAGTTAAGAAAACCCTGAAGGAAATTAATCTAGTGCTGGATAAGGAAGTGGCGTTAAATAGGAAAAGGTGGAATAGTGTGTTGGAAGCGGTGATGGTTCTAAATGGATCGCTATAAGCCCTAGAAGAAGAACTTAGTTGTTTTACCATATTGATGTTTCATTTGAACCATCAAATGTTAAACTTACAATAACAACACCAATATTATTTCATAAATCTAAATACTGTACAACTAAACCAGTCTATTGAGTACTTGGAAAAATCTAAGTCTATATAGGTTGAAATGTTTAGGAATTTAAATTTTTAATGCACAATATGCCAATATACTGGAGCTGTAGAATATTACTCTCTATTGGTTAAAATAAAAATTATCAAATTTGGTTGATTCTACAGAACAGGATAATTATTCCCGTAGAGCGTATTTTTGTGTACAAAATTACATTGGTACCAGGCACCAATAAATTATTACTCTTGAGCATATAATTACTGATCTAAAAAAAAATTGTTTTCTTTGTTACCTTATAGTATTAATTTCCTTGACTGTATGGCATTTGTGTCTGACAACATTGTGATAGAGTATTTTAGGAAAAGGAGCTTTGGAATATCTTTTTCATTTAATGACTGGCACGAAGAAAAAAATATTGTTTTCTGTACATGAACTGAAAATAATTATTAGATTTTTACAGTAAAATAGTATTAATTCTTTATTTGTTGTGCAGCATATAATATATTATGTATAGTTCAATTAAATAATCCATTTTAAGAACCTAAAAAGTATTAGAAGTACTTATCATAAAGAGTTTTATCAAATTGTAGTTCACTAACTCCTTTAACAACTATTTTAAATGATTTAACCTTGACTTTACAATATTCATCTACATTAGCAACATTAAATTTATGAAATAACACTTAGCTAATGTAAATCCAAATTAACTAAAAATACTTGTTTAAAACTACTTTATTTTTAATACTATTTTGTATTTTTGTATTATCGTGTACATAATTAAAAGAGTGTTTTAAATAGTGTAACAATTTTTAAAATTAAACTTAAAATGAACAAAACAAACTCACAGAAGAATGAACTGGTACATCACCCAGAATATATATAATATCCATACATTAGCTAGTTGAAGGCATGATCAGATACCTTAAATTTCATAAAAATGTTTAAGTACACTCAGATATTTCTAATTACTTAGGTATATTTTTTTTAATTTACCAGTGAAAAGTTGTCGTTTGTAGCAATATTGAATAGGATGATGAAAAAGTTTCCTAATAATTTTGTCCAGCCTAACAAAAATATACGTTGTAATATTAATTTTATAATTTACTTTAAATTTTATTAAATTTCTTAATATGTATCTAACACGTTTCAATCGTTGAACTATTTACTTGGTTTTAATAGTACACATATTGAAGCAATCCTATCAAAATGAGTGATCCATATTCGGCTAGCTTTTATTGATGCTATTTGTGTACATATCATATTGTTTTCGATTTTAGATCGAATCTCTTCTTTAATTGATGTTCTATAAAGCAATGATTAATTTACAAAAATAAAATTTGAACGATTAAATGATTAATTAAGCAAAATAAGGTTAGTTTCAGATATGTAAGTACATTGTACATGAATATAGCAGTCTTCACAATTTAAAAATATGTATTACATACAATTCCCAAATAATATTATGTAACATAATATATTAAATTAAAACCTTAAAAAAACAAGAACGTGTAAATACCGTGGGTTCGCGAAAACTGGGGAAAACTCTATAACTCAGTTACCTACATTACTCAGTACCAAATACATATTTTAGAATTCTGTCTGCGGTTGATTGATAGTATAATTTTGTATCCCACAAACCGAATTCAAAATATGTTTAGGGTATTGAGTAATATGGGTAATTTGATTATACAATGTACACTGCTTTCATGGCCACATAGTATGTTATAAAAGAACATAAAGAATTACATAATTTCCAAAAGTCTAAAATTCAAATTAGGTTATATAAGGAAAAATTTGTAACATATCAGTTATCAGTCCTGGAAAATCAGTACGTCTGCCACGGTTAATAAATGTATCTATTAACCACAATGTAAAGAAGATAATCTTCTTCTCTAAATCGTGCTGTGACTACGAACAATGAACATAGACACAGCGAACTCAGGTTGTTCGCCTCAACTGGCTAGGGTACTGACGACTAAACTGCGAACTCCACCTCCACTGACTACCTGGTCATATAACCCAAGTATCGAAAAAATAATACATAACGAGGCCCGAATATTAGACCGAATGTCCTCATCGTTACATCTTATATTCATATTACAACCTCCATGCATGAAGCTTAAAATAAATAAAACCAAGTCGTTTCTTTCATGAAATACCTATTATTTTCGTAGAATAGTCTGGTTGTTGCCCAGCCTGAATTATCTTTGCCGTGATGGGGAGATCAATGATCACAGAGGCGTGATAAAAAATAGTATGTTTAGTTCGTGCGGGAAGGCAATTTCAGTCTTGGGAGAAATGGGGTAATCGTCTGCGGCTCATGCAGCACACGTCAACCGCGACTGAAATAGCTCTCTCCACCCTTGCCACACAATTAGTACTATTTCGGTGCACGAAAAGTTAACGGTTTGGTCATCGCAAGAATTAGTTTTTGCATCATACTGATTTCTCCTGGTACTTACAAAATATATCAATATATATATATACAATATTAGGTTGTTGATTGATGTTATTGTTAACCACGCTTAGGGCCCGTATTACAATAGTTGAACTCCAGTTAAACGACCGAATTCGGCCGGTAAAATCAGTGGGTTAAGCGTAACTGAGGTTTAAACTATGATTATAAAACAGGCTCTTAGAGCGTTAGTAGCTTTTCTCCTATCGTTGAACAGCTGTTGAAAACCATATTTTTCGAGCACCACTTTTGTTATGCATAAGGGCATTGAGTAACCTATGAATCCTTGTAATAAAACCTTAAAATGTGGTCAGGTCCCTTTATATCACACACAACTATAATAGGGTATGAGGGATGAGCAGTCTATATATTAATAAGTCTATGCTGGAAATGAGTCCGCAGGGCCTACCATGTTCTAAACAGTTCATTAAATCTTAGTCCTTTAGACAGGCCATAGATAGAATAGTTGCGTAAGGAAACGAGAAATAGTGAGTCCTCAATATTTTCCACTATATATCTAAGATTATAGAGTGCTTTCAACCAAACTAACCAAATAGCAAAATAATATAGATATTATTGAGTATTAAAACTGTATGGTTTTATAAATAAACTGACTGCATGTGTGGTCTCCGACTTACAAGTGCGTAACATAGCAAATGGTAAGCTCAGCAGATCACGTTTAACTCTATTGGTTTTTTTGTGAATTGACCTCTTATCAAATTTAGAAGTAAGAATATAAATAGAAGGTAAATTTTTTTTTTTAGTTAAATGTTTAGAATATATGTTGTTTACCAGAAAAATAATAGGCTAAAGCTCCCTACATAAATGTATGCACGTAAATGCATCGCACTGCCATATTCATGTAAGATACTACTTTAGATTTAATGCATGGACATAAGAATATATGAAAGCGTTTACCACCCCTTGCTTCTAGGATCGGACTGAAGTATACTCTAGACTAGCAATAGCCAGTAAGGCTCCGTGTCTGTGTAACTGTATGGGATGAGGCCCTTCATTATAAATGGAAATATATATATAACTTAAAAAACATAATAATATGAACTAATGATTAAAAGTAAATTATAAAGTAGTGCAGTGTATGTGTTTGACGTTTATGTTATCAGCTCATTTTGTTCTATTACAAAATTAACTCAGATTTAGAAAATATTTAAACTATAAAATAATAATGCTTTAGGTGTGGAAAACTATCCAAAAATTAAATAGTAATTTGTAAAGTATTACGATAATTGATACAGGCATGATAAGTATTTCATTATATATAATTTTTTATTATATTTGTATACAACTTTTAATAGTTAGTACCCATTGGAATCTGAAATGATTTGGTACTGGCATATAATATATTATCAAAACTACATTTTTTTTTTTTTTTTATCAGACATTATCAGACATTAATAAAAATTAAGAGTAAAAAGTTATGGCCATTTTTGTCAAAAACAAATAAATCATAAAATTTAAATGATGAATAACTATTGATTATAGTTGTTGTTTAAGTCTTTTGTAAGTAATGCACTGGTAAGGTCTACAGTACCCAGTCCGACCCTACCTGATACAGGTTACTAAATACCAACATTGTTAGAAACAGATGTGCCTGTGCATATGAAAATAAAGTGCAGCTATTTTTTTCTAACAATGTTAAATCCCGATTCTCTCTCTCGCTGATATCAGTTCATTTCTTTTAAAGGTCAAGTGAAATGATATTTATTAAATAAAAAAAAAATTAATTTCAAAATATGATTTGCTTTATGTGTAAAATATAAACATACATCTAATTTAATTGTTTCATTTTTGCATTATTTTGATTGTTTGCTACTTCATAAAAATATTTTTATGCCATTAAAAATACGTTGTTGGCTAAACAATGCATTTTAGATTTAATAATTAATTATTAACAAAAATTTAAAATCTTGTTGTTTTATTCTTAAAAAATATATGGCTATTTAAAAAATAAGTAAAATAAAAAAATAATTGTAAATAATAAAGATACATAAACATAATAAAACATTTTAGGTTAAAAAAAAAAAATATGTGCACAGAATAGTAACTTAAGAACATGAATATAAAAACATGCACATACCCTGTCATTTTTTCCCTAACTATAAAATTATTCATCATCATTAATGACAATAACTCCTTCATCATCTTTCGGATCATACTCCCTTAAAAACAAAAAAAAAAAAAATAAAAAAATTTGCATTTTATGTGTTATAAACTTATAAAAATTAAATAAATAATACATACATGAATTCCTTCTTAAGTTTTTCAAACTCTTCTATCATACTACTCCTTAAATCTTTTTCCAAGCACTGCAATGATGCCTTAAAAATTATTTTCACTAATTTATGACAACCATTCATGTATTCAAAACGGATGCACTCGGTCCATACATCTGTATATGTAACCAATTTAAGATTAGTTTCAATTATATTGTAGGAAAATTTCATCGGCTTCTCGCCAAATCTCATTATCGGTAAAAATTAAATTGTTGATAAATGGTTAAATGGTTAAATTATTGAAAAGTTTCTCTAGGATTATGTTTATATTTTTTCCTATGATACAAAAGAGTATTATAATTTTTTTTATTGTTTTATTTCACATAAACCTATCACACTAACTGTTTAATGAATTCTTACATCTTACAATAAAACAATACAATAATGAATATTGAAAAAGCTTAAAAAACATGGGTTTATATAGATTTTGATATTTAGTGCCTCTACACAAATTATAGAGCTAAAATTTAAACTAGATGGAGCTTCAAAAAAAAAAAATTAAATTTTGCAGTTATGAGCTTTGGTAGTAAGCCGACGATTTGATACTCACCAATGTCTGTGTCGCCAAAAGTATTGCATACATCGTTATACAATTTTCTAATATTTCTTAATTTGATACCTCCTGTGTTCTGATATTGTTCAAATGAAATCATGGACATATACAACTGTTTACATTCTGGTTTTATGTCTCTGAGTTTAATGAACAATTCACGAGTTGATAGTATTCCATTGTGAACAGCATTCCATTCTAAATATTGAGGCCTGATTATAAAATTGATTTCCGGAAATGGATAATGTGATCCTTCATGATATAATTGTTGGAGCTAAATAGAAATAAATACTGTTATGAAGCAACTATATATTTTACAGAGAAAAAATAATTTGATAATTTTATCTCTATAAAAATCAAACACTTATAAATAAGTATTGTGTGTGGTCTGCTGTCAGCTGATATCTGCTATATTGGAAGAGTAAAAATTAAAAAATTGACTGCAAGGAATTATTGGGACAAAATAATTTAGTTAAATGTTACTGAAACGTGTTTATTTGTATGGATTTAACTGCATAACATTTTGGATCATAAAATATATTTTACAAGGATATCAAAACAAAATGCCAGCGATAACTAGGAAAATAAAAAGTTAATTCATTAAGAACTTAATTATATAGACAATGGTTCTAAACAATATATAATAACAATTTAATTTATAATTGTTAATAAGTACAGGGATGGCTTGGGCCATCAGGAATGATTGGCCACGTACTAACTAGTTGACTGTCTGTGAAGTACAGCACTACCAAACTCTACGGATGTAACGTAACTTACAATAATTAGGTATAGACGGTTTTAAGTTTTGTTTCTTCTTGGTATCTCATAATTTATTCACATATCAAAAATTTCAATTTACAAAACAACAAACTAGAGAGCAATAAGTCAATAGCTAATATCAATAATAAATATTACTATAACAATATAACAGAAACTGAATAATAAGTATTAACAATAACTCCAATCAAAAAATCAACCTCAGTAAAATCTACAATACATTTTATTGTTAAAGCCGTTAAAGGTGGATTTTATGATTAAGGTGTTAATCAGTTTCTTTTAAACTATTATAATAGAACGTATTATAATATTTTCTATTGCTACTGGTAAGATATGTTTTAGTAAATAAGTAAATAGTCATATCATAATATTTTTAGACTTTATTATGTTATACCACAATATTTTTGGCGAAAGATTAGATAATATGTGTAGAGTTTCAATTCTATAGTTTATGTTAGTTACAACAGTCAACCATTGGCTTTGCGTGCAGCCATATTAAATTAAACGAACTCAAGTATTTAAGTTTTTCCAAAATATGGGTAAAAGAAAAAGTTGGGTGTGGGACTATGCTAAGCGAGAAAAAGATTGTGCCTATTGTGATTTATGTGATGACGATACAAATGAATTCTCCTGTGTCGGTGGAACTACTGGGTCTCTAATAAGACATTTACAAAATGTACATCAAATTAATTTACCAAAAGAATCAGCGGCAAAGAGTAGTAAGTAATAAGTTATGTATTTTTATTCAAGCCATTAAAATCAAAAAATTGTTAGGTTATTTAAGTACATAGATGCCAAATTTTAAATGTGACATAATAAAATGAGGTGTGTATCAATCGACAAGGATTCAATATTTTATATCTAAGTACAAATTTATGTTTATGAGTAGAATATACGCATTCGTCTTCCAATCACATTATTTTCATGCCAAATTGTATAATATGTATTACTTTTTTATCTATATTACATTTTCATATAATTATTACGAGTACAATTAAATACAATGGCATTATTTTATAATTATCAAAAGTCAATAATCATAGGTACGCATAAAATATAAATACATTAGTATATCATTCCTACCAACACTTTTAATACAACAAATTTAAACCTTTAAAAAAAATTATTATTTTATTGTTTGACTAGGATGCAAGTAATTTATTAATAAATATATTATAATATTTAATAAATATATATTGTAGGTCTCAATTGAGGTCTAATCATCCATTTAATGATACCCAAGAAGTTATAAGGTCTGGTAGTTCTGAATATGAGAATAATACAACTTCCATCAATCAAGATGATGATACAATTCTAGTTAATAATACTACTAAATCTTCCTTAAGCTTAGAAAATAATAAGGAATCAAAATCTAGAAAACGTTGTCGTATGTCTAAAAAATGTGGGTCTAATAGTGATTGTGGATGTAATTATGAAAAAACAGAACAGTTTGATTGCAATGGTATTGAATTATTAATTGCAATGAATCAGTTACCTTTATCATTTTGCTCGAGCCCTGGATTTTATTAGTTCATGGCTGTTGTGGAGTCTAATTATAAAATATGTAGAGATCAAGCAATGAAAAAAAGACTACATGTATTGAAATTAAACGTTGAGGACAAAATAAAAATTGAATGGCAAAATGGGAAAAGTGTAAGGTGTAAAGTGTAAGAAACTGAAGGTTGGTCTTCAATGGCTCAAAACTCATATATATCGTTAACTGCTAACATAATCAATAATCAATGGTCACCAAAGTCATTTACTTTGGCCACACAAGAAATGTCAGAACGTCATACAGCAGTAAATCTAGCTGAAAATTGGGAAATTAATGGTAAAGTCACTACTGTAATTACAGATAACGCAGAAAACATAGTAAATGCTGTAAAATTACTAAATATTACAATAGACAATGAAAATATGGATGTGACATGTGCAGCTCACAATTTAAAATTACCATTAATGTTGCACTAAAACAAGAAATATTTTCAGATATAATAAAACAGTGTAGTACTGTAGTTGGACATTTCAAACACTCGAATGTAATCAAACAGTCATTATTAAACAAACAAGAACAGCTAGGACTTCCATATCAATCATTAGTGTAATGCTGTAAGACACAATGGAACTCAATAAATTTAATGTTAGACCGCCTTTTAAAAAAAACAGAAGTCCAGTTTCAAATGTATTGGCAGATAGAACAGTCACGTCTTTTAACATTGCGCAGACTACATTAAAAATATTTAATTTTTAACAAGATTTGAGTTCAAATTTTAAAAATATAAATTTGCAACTATTTTTAACATGACAATAAATAAAATGTTTTCTATATGATGTATTGAGATTTAAATGAACATAAACTTATTTAGGTACTGTATAATATAGTTTGTAAGTAATACTACACGTTGTAATCTATGATATAAGAAATTAGGTTATACGACAAAATAACTCCATTAAAAATATCTCTATCAAAATATCTCCAGTATAAAATATCTCCGTCAAAATGATCTCCAATACAAAATATCTCCCGATTTACGTAGTAAAAAAATTCAATGAAACTCCTGCCGTTCTTTACTTAAGAGGAATTGCTCAAAACATAAAATTTTAAAACATGATTTTTTTATATTTTTTTTTTACGATTATGTGTAAAATAATATTTTGATATTTGTTTATTTAATTTAATTTTTGCTCAAAACATACAATTTTAAAACATGATTTTTTTATATTTTTTATTTTAAAATTTTTTGAAGATAATTTGTCTGAAATATTTTGTATTGGAGATAATTTTGTCGGAGATATTTTGTATTGGAGATAATTTTGACGGGTCACCAGAAATTAGTATAGAATCGTTAGGTACGAATAGAGTACTGAGTAGTTTACCTAATACCTATACCTATATTTTTCGATTATTGTAAAAAATATCCTAACCATAAAAAAAAAAACACTTACACAGTCATACATTTAAAATATGATAAAGATATAACTATATAAGTAATAAGTATTAAGTCATTATGTTATTATTTATTAATTATTTGCATGTTAAGTTGAAGAAAATATCTCAATTTTTAGGATCATTTTTTTTTTAACCTTTTGATTGATATTAAATTGTAGTAAATTTAGTTTTCTATCGTTTGTGTCTCAAAAAATTTTTTGCATCATTTTTTTTTATAGTTATGTTTAAAAATATCAAAAAAAATTATAATATTGAAATTTTCCATTTTTGTAACTAGAGCTTTTGTGGCACGGGTTAAAATTAAAGAATTTGCATGAACCTTTTTTTGTATGATTTTTTTTGCAGTTGAACCTTTTTAGGGGGGGGGGGAATCTGAAAAAAATGAAAAATGAAAAATAAGGACCATTCTAATGGATCATGTTGGTCAACAAAATCAAGTATCAACTGTAATAAGTATATAAGTGAACAGGATAACTTTTGAAACAAGAGTTTCAATTAACTAATTTTGAATAGGTTTATCATTGAGAAATGATCAAAATATTAATACTTATTTTACCAATTTTGGATGAGTGTTCCCCAAGTATACAATTAGAATTGCCCATAAAGGCATTGATTTGCTTTTTAAAGCCCGAACACCGTCTTGAAAAGTTGCAATAACCATTTCAAGACTGTCATAGTTCAAATAACATGATATTAAATTAATCCAGATGTCAACATCATCTTTTATCACCTCCACTGCATTTCTCATTATTTTATCATAGTCTTGAATTGTGTTATTAGCCTGAATAAAAATAAATAAACAAATTGTTATTTAAATTAAACAATTGTAGTTTATAAAAATGTACTTACCCAATAAATGTATTGTCCAGCTTTACATAATGCTTTATTATCATGAGCTTCTTGAAAGGCTCTTTCCATTGTTTCATTCATAAAATTTCTGATTGTTTCTTTTTTCATACGATAAGATTTTCTAATTTCTATAACATGATCAATATAAAAGTTCCACAATTTATGTTTATTTTGAAGTGGTAAATTTTCTTTTAATCCATCTTCATAGGTTTTAATGCAGTTTCTATAAAACAAATAGGTAAGTATCATAAAAATGTTTTTTTTTTTTATTATTTGAATACTGACCTAATACCATTAATATAATTTTTATCATAGTGTAATTGCTCAGTCTCCTGATGATAGATAAAACCATCAAAATGAATTTTTGCTAATTTTTGCCACATTAGTTCACTATGCCTATACTTCTTAACCATATCTCTAAACAAAAATAATATATTTTTAAAAATGTATGTTAAATTGTACTAAAAATTAATCAATACCTGACTACATTGCATTGCAGTTCTCTAACTGCACTTAATTTAATGGCTCTGTCCAATAATATAAAATGAAATTCAATATCACCTTCAAAGCGTTTTATTAAGCTTCTATATTTTCCAATAGCAATTGGAAGTGATGCTCCTTCAGTCTTTTCTAAATGTTGTACTTCTACCCAGAACTCTTCTACATATAAATTTTTACAATTTTTGTGATATTTTAATCCTTCCGCAAAATATCGTCTAGCTGATTCAATATCATTTCGGTCATCAAATGCATATGTTGCTGCAGTTAAATACACTTCAGGGTCATCATGGTATCTCAACATGAGTGTATCCAACACGATGCTACATTTAGTAATAAATAATATCTGAAATAAAAAGTTTAAAATTATTAAATAAATATTTCCTAATAAATAAACAAATTCACCGTTAACTATTTAATTTTAAATCAACAATAAAATGGAAATATGCTAATACATATTTCAATGGTTATTTAAATTTTTGCTTTCCATTATCGCACAAACATGACCCAATACCACACAAAATGCATAACCCAATACCACACACAAAAATAATATGATACCGCTCACATTTATATGCCTAATTCCGCTAATTCAACTCATCCGCATTCAAGCTTATTTGCTTATAGGATGAATTGCAACTTTTGGTATCTATATTGTCTATCTAACCATGTTAAATTGATGCTGTTGCAATAAACTTTTATTTTTAACTTTTTTTATTAATTTCACACACAATAATAGATACAATACTGCACAAATTTATTAAAAACAATATATATAATTATTAAATCAAATTAAATTCAAATTTGATGAAATCAAAATACACATTTCAAATTCAAAAATGTTATATCAAAATAATTAAAAATAGCATCTATATAGTAAATGTACACAATAGGGTGATTATAGGTCCCATTTTTAATGGGACAGTCCAGATGTTCATACATCTATCCCATTATGCCCTGGGGAATCTTCAGGACACTAAAATGTCCAGTTTTCTGAAGGTACCTAGACAAAAAATTGATGGAAACCAAAAATAAAATTGTGAGGTAGTTGGAACTGAAGACTAGAATTACTGGGTTACAGTCATAAGCGTCACTAAGGGGTATCGAGGGGTATTTTTGCTACTCCAGACATTTTTTGGGGGTAGCAAGAGTATCATTTCGATACCCCCAAAAAAGTCTTCGATTTTAAAAATATATTCGATGTTAATTATTTAAATGTGTACGAACCACAATTTAAGATAGTACTAATCTTGACCGTGGTACAAACATAGACTATCTATTATTGTGATTGTGATTTGTGACCAAAATGGCAAAATAATTATGTTTTGTGATAAGTTCAATACGGATGATTAGACAGTGTATTTCACGGTTTAAGATATACGGTATACGATATATCTTAAACCGTGGTGTATTTACACATACGTCATACCAAGATGGTATGATCTATAAAGAAGAGATTAGACACTTAGACAGTAAACGTTTTCAATTGATGGTGGTTCTATTCATCCAGAATTTAAAGATGTCAAGGATTTTTATAGAATAGAAATGTATTATTTAATTCTTGACACAATCATATAGGCAATTAAAGACAAATTTAATGAAAATAATTTAAAGATTTTAAACTCAATAAACAACATTTTAGTTGATAAGAATACCCTGATGTATCTGATATTCAGGAAGTTAGTTCAGTATATGGATTTCATGTAAATGAATTGAAGTCTGAAATAATTATTTTCAATAGAATGTTTACCAGTTTGAAAAAAGAAGATAACTTTGAAAATAAATTAGCATATATAAAAAAAGCTGAAGTTGGGAGTGGTTTCCCTATATTAGTAGATGTTTTTAAATTATTTTTGACTATACCAATGTGAAACTATACAGTGCATCATGTGAAAAAAGCTTTTCGTGCCTAAGAAGACTAAAAAATTACTTAAGAACAACCATGGACCAAACAAGACTAAGTGACTTAGGTTTATTGTATATACACAAAGATAAAGAGGTAAATAAAAATGCAGTTATAGACGAATTTTGTGCTGACAACAAACGCCGACTTAATTTAAAATAATAAATATTTTAGTACTCATACATTTAATAATTAATATAGGTATCATTGTTTCTTAATCTATATTTGTTTTTAATAAATATATTGATAAGTTTAGTTAAAATGTTAACTATACATGTGCATTTTTATTATACAAAATAATGATTAAACCTATAAAAAATTATTTTTTACTTTCTAAAACTAAACTTTTCTACCCCAGAATTTGGACTCTAGTGACGCCCATGGTTACAGTAAAACAAGATGGTTAGCTTTAATGCCTCACTCGAAAGAGTTTTGCAGTTATATATACCACTGAAAGATTATTTCTTCAGCATAAATAAGTGTCCAACAGTTTTAAAGAACCAAAGTTATTTTTGAGTTATGACTTTTTTTGTTATGTGACAAATATAAAACTAAATTTGTGTGTGGTAATAGAACATACAGTATTTAAATATGTGTGCGGTTTGTCCTATGCGTATTTTGCACATTTGTGCTGTAATAGGTGACGCCCATTTAAATGTATAAATATTCAAAACCTTTTCAACATAATATTTAACTATACAATGTTAAAATATATTATCAACAATAAAATGTCAGTAACTAATAATATTATAATTGTTTAAAAATATTATTGAAACCAAAATGATATTAAAAGAATTGCATACAATTTATTGTCTTTTGTTATTTATTATTAGATGATTGATATAAGACGTACTACAGAAAAAAAATAAGGTTTCTAATCTAATGAAAAAATTATCATTTTGTATGGTATGTATGGGAGACAACAATGAGAATAATATAAGATGTTGAATTGTTGTCATACCTATCTTTATGTGCTGCAATGGCACCCGTAAAATATAAACCTAAGAGGGGAGAAGGACAACGTTAAAAGTAACTATACTGGGTGATTCTTTTATCAAACAACACTCATTATTTCAAAAAGTGTAAATTTTTTTGAAAATATTTTTTACATAGTTTCAAGTCGCTTATAAAACAACGTTTTAATTAAAAAATTATATTTTTAAATATTTTTTATCCTTATAATTTTTTAAGTTTTTACTTTTTTAAATAACAACATAGGGTTTTAATTTTATATTCCAAAGCAGAATATTTTTCTTAGTATTTTGATACATGAAAATTTAATTTGGGGCGAGTAGTTTATGAGTTATAAGTAATTAAAGTTTAGACGAGCCTTGAAGTGGACAGACATTTTGCGGGGTAACCCCGAACCACTCCATTCCGCTCGTCTAAACTTTAATTACTTATAACTCATAAACTACTCGCCCCAAATTAAATTTTCATGTATCAAAATACTAAGAAAAATATTCTGCTTTGGAATATAAAATTAAAACCCTATGTTGTTATTCAAAAAAGTAAAAAACTTAAAAAATTATAAGGATAAAAAATATTTAAAAATATAATTTTTTAATAAAAACGTTGTTTTATAAGCGACTTGAAACTATGTAAAACAATATTTTCAAAAAAATTTACACTTTTTGAAATAATGAGTGTTGTTTGATAAAAGAATCACCCAGTATAATACGGCTTTTCTTTTAACAAATTATTAAAAAATTAATATCCACTAAAATAACATAGGGCTTGTCCCCCCCTTCCCATATGCACAGCCCTGATGGATATTTAACTGGTATAGTATATAATGTACTTTTGGAATTATATAAATAAGCAAGATTGGTGATTGTATACGGTATTTTCCCACTATAAAATTGCTTAAAATAGGTATAGAGATAAAATTACTAATTCTTAATTAAAATTGTTAATTTTTATATATTTTTAATTATACTACGGAAAAAACTAGATTAATTATTTTTTTGACGTGATTATACATTATTAATAATTATACTATGGATAAAACTACATTAATACATTTTTTGACGTGCTAATATACTACGCAGTCTACTATGTATTGTAGACCGTATACTAGAGCAGAAACATGATGGTAGTCTGTGTACAAGAGCGGCACCAAAATTATTAAATGAAGCAAGCTTTAGAGATTTTCATTATCTGTAGTCAATAGAAAAATTACAAAACTGCTGATATATTTAAAATTTAAAACTATGATGCTGTAATCTAGTTGATATGCATTCATATAGGGAAAACAAAATAGCTTGTATTTCTCCGCATGCGGGCAACCCAATGCGTGCAATACTACAGTATGGTCAGAATAGAAACCGCACGTACTCCCCCTGTACCAGCTAAGACATTACATGCATGTTGTAATTTATTCACTTACATTATTTGAACAGAACTCAATATATTCTGACAGTGAAGTCTTTAAAACAGGAAACAAATGAAACATATTGGTGTACATATCGTTGATACGATTTGATAAAATGGTAAGTATTTCAGTGTTAAGATGGTCTGTGTTGTTTTCTTTCAGTTCTTGCTATGAAATAAAATAGATAATAACAATAATTTAATTAATATCAATTGTAATAATCTTACTTCAATTTTAAGTTGACATGTATCCAGCATATTTAATTCAGTTTTTATTTGTTTCAAAAATTCCTCTCTGGTGGCCAACCCAAGCTTAATTTTCTGATTAAGCGTTTTACGATCATTTTTTAGCTTTCTTAAATATAAAAGTCAAGTAAAACAAATAAAATATAAATAAAATAAAATATACTGGTTTAAGAAATGTATAATTACGTTAGTTTTTCCTTTTCCATTATTCTATAAGTTTTCATAAAATGGACTTCAGCTTCCATTTCATTTGGCGACATGATGTGAAACAATTTCTTTATTAACCCTCAATACTTTGGGTAGAATGTGCAATGCAATTGAACAAATTAATAAGTCCAAAAAGTTGTAGTAGGTAGCAATAAGATACCACAATTTCAGCACGAGATCAATAATGATCAATGTCAAATACCATCATGCTAAGTGTAAAGTTTGGTTGTGACAGCTAGAAAGTGGTACTAGAATTGAATCAAATTATTTCGTAATTTTATTAAACCTATAACATCATATATTTCATAACAAATATTTAGATCCTTTGCAATAAAACCGTTAGTATAAGACATTAAATCTTATGTTGGACAATGAGTAAAAATCATTGGAATAAGGGACGCGGTGTTTGGAAAAAATTTACAAAATATGTAAACAAAGTACTTTAGTACTTACCTTACTGCTGTGTTCAAATAACTGTGTTTGCCATTTTGTCAAAAATTGGTCAGCATTAAGAATTAAGATGGTGTTTGTGATCGAGAAGGCTTAATGTTAGATTCTAGTAACAAGCTCTAGTATATTCAAGTATTTTATATAATATTGATATGTTAATTCACGTTTGAGGATTGAGAACAGTCAGCGTCTCATGGCCGGCATATACTTCGTAGGTACCTACTTTAAAAATTGATAGCGATAGACTAGAAAACAATAATCATTGTTATTCTTGGTTAGATTCCATTACTATCGTCATAGTCTCATGCATTTACACGTTTTGAAACTTCAAATGTTTGATCAGACAATTAAAAGAAATTATATCTATTATAATTGATTAAATTATATTCCATTATGTTTGAATTGAATGTTTAGTTCACGGACTAGGAATACAGTTAGTGGCGGCGGCCGGCGTCGTCTCCAAAATTTGTTGTTGTTGTTAGCTACCGGCTGCCGGCTACCACGGTTATCTACAGATAAACAACTGATAACCTCTCTATCACAACAAACGCAGATAATGACCAAATATTCCAAAATGTCGGCATTAACCATAGAATTATTTTTTTTTTTTTAACTAATTTTAAACGTTTAATTTTAATTTTTTAACTTAACTAGTAAACTAGTGTCTAGTTATTTAATTTTCTTATTGAAGGTTGTACTTTATTATTTTTATATTATTATTATTTAATAGAGCTGGTTAGTGTGTAATGGAAAATTCCCGTACATGACGGTACATCTGTCATAGTATGTTATTATTTATCACAACCCACGTCTCTTTTGATGGGAACCTGTCATATTTGATACACGATATTTGATTCCCTATAGTTCCAACTCACGTCTCACAATCATAAATATTCAATATTTTAAACGTAGGTAATGAAAATTGGAATCGTATTAAATATGATGGATGTTATCAATATAACCCATTACGGCATTACGAGTAAACGACTAATATAATAGGTATATTATTTTCAGTAGTCAATAGGTACTTCGTTTTCGTATTTTTAGGTTGTTACTTGTTTCCAAATGCGAGCTCAACTGCTCAAGAATGATAAAATTGTATTTGTTGGATGTGTTAATGATGTATTGCTAATTTTTTTTTTTCATTAATATTAGTTACCTATATAGTTTAAAATGTTTGAATATATTTTATTGATTTTAACATTTTTGAATTTTGTTTGAAATATAAAAATGTTTATAGGTAAATATTTTGTTCCAGAGCTAGATTACATTTTAGTGTAAGGTATATTTAATTTAACTAGGTATATTTATCTTTATATTCATGTTGTACAAAATTTGAGCATGGTATTCTCTCATGCCAAAATGTGTATACTAGCCAAGTTCAGGTACCTACCTACTTGTGCAGTTCTAAAATATTCTTAGCGCAAACCCTGAATAAATTAATAAATTAACAAATTAATAAACATACCTACTTTATATTTTCACCAAATACGAAAATTGTTCCTAAATTATACAGTTTTCAAAATATTTTAACTCTTTTAAAGCGATAAGACATTTTCGATTTTTTTCAATTATTGTCTAATGTTTCGCTGGATCAAATATCTTGAAAATGTATACAAGGTTCACACAAGCTGTAAATAATTTAATTTAAACAAAAGTTGATCGTGAAACAACAATTCATTTTAGATTCTGAGCGGAGCGATGAATGTATTGGTTTTACAATGATGTATGTTTTTTTTATATTTTTATTTATATTTTAGATTCTGAGCGGAGCGATGAATGTATTAGTTTTACAATGATGTATGTTTTTATATTTTTATTTATATTTTTATATTTTATATTTTAGATTCTGAGCGGAGCGATGAATGTATTGGTTTTACCATGATGTATGTTTTTATATTTTTATATTTTTATATTTTTATATTTTTATTTATATTTTTGTGTCTGTCATCACGTTTTAGGACAGTAAAGTGCTTGGATTTTCTTCATCAGTAGCTTTTCTGATAGGAAAGTGAATCTAGTTGGTACTTTGGGGGGTCAAAAGTATAAATTTCCCAGTAGTTTTCACAAGCGCCGGGAAAAACAACATAAAAATTAAGGAAAAACGAGAATTTTTACGCAAAATTGGTTTTCCAAAAAATCGATTTTGGTTATTGGTGTAACTCTAAAACAAATGAACGTATATACTATATACATGAAATTTTCACTGGTTGTTTATATTTGCATTTTCTATACACGATAACATTTTCAAAATATTTTGATTTATTTTGAACTGTTTAGGGACATTTTCATTTTCCATTTTTTTTTAGTTTTTTTTCTAAAAATATCAATAAAATTTTATTTATTGGTTGCGAAAGCTTGAAAATTTAATAGAAGGCTCCTAATATGTTGTTTCAAAGGCAGATGAAAAATATTAAAAATCCTTAGCCACAATTTTTTTTTATAAGCATTTAAAGTTCAAAAATTGACAAAATATGGAAAAATCACGAAAATTAGCAAATTATTTTGAGTTAAGAATTCGTAAAAATTTTTCTTTTTAAATCTAAGATTTGAAAATGAAACACAAGATTCCTTATAAGATTATCTACCTTTATAAATAAAAAAATCTCTACCGGACAGTCAAATTAAATTTTTATGAGCGTTTGAAATTCAAATTTTTACAACATTGGATTTTCACTCGATTTCTCATGTAGCGATTTCCTTATTTTGTTGTAATTCAAAAACGAATAACTGTAGATACATGAAAATTTCACTGAATGTTTATATTAGCATTTCCTACACACCATACAATTTTGAAAATATTTTGACTCTTTTTGAGCTGTTTATGGACATTTACAGCTTTCAATTTTTTTTAGTTTTTTTTTCTATAAATATCAATAAAGTTTTATCTGTTGGGCCAAAAAGTATAAAAATTTAATACAAGGCTCCTGATATATTGTTACAATATCAGTTGAAAAATATTAAAAATACATAGGCACGATTTTTTTTTATAAGCATTTAAAGTTGGAATTTTGACAAAATTTATCAAAATCTCAAAAATTATCAATCGTTGGAAATTTGGAATTAAAAAATTATAAAATGTTCAGTTTTTATAACTAAGAGTTGAAAATTTAAAACAAAGATTCTCTTAAATAATTCATACTGTAACCAAAAAATCTAAAAAATATATAAACACACTTATTTTTACAGACATTTTAATTTCAAATTTAGACAAAATTTCATATTTAAACCAAGAATTACGATTTTAGTTATTTTGTTGTGATTGAATAATACTATTCGTGGGTACTTGAAACTTCTAAAGTGTACTATTATATATCTATGATAGTATCACGGTTTTTGTTGATGTATAACGCGTTATAAGTATCTAATGGATATTGTGATATGATTAATTTGGAATTTATTATAGGTCAATTATTGTTTAATACCATAAATATGTATATAATATGTCTGATACATAGACTGACATACCGTCACCGCTCAGAATCGTTTTTCTTATACAATGATATTATATCATTGAATTCAAATTTAATACCATCCATTATACAGTGACCCACTTGTAACCTACTGTACAGCAGAGCGACACCCACTTGCCCACCTTTTTTATAATTGTTTTAAATTAGAATTTTCACGTAATTCATAAAAATGTTTATTTCATATCTTACATTTGAAAATTTAATAGGTAAAAGTTTCAGCGTAGGTTTTTCCACATTAAACAATTATAAACAAAAGTTTAACGGAAAGTAACATTAATCTTTATGAGCATTTGAATTTATAGTTTTTACGAAATTGGATATTCACCGGTAAATTACGAATTCCCATCAATCGATTTCTGATATATTGTTGTAATAAAAAAAATGTATTTTAATTGTTAAAATTTAAAAATTGAATAGAGCTCCTCATACATTTTTCTTATCATGTCTTTTTAAAAAAAAAATATTTACCTGATAGTAACGGTAGGTTAGGTACCTATTTGAAAAAAATTATCATAAAAATTAATTTTTTAGTTAGGTATTGAATGTTATTGCTTATTCAAATATGCTAAGCTGACACACCGTCACCGCTCAGAATCGCTTTTCGTATACAATGATTCAAATTCAAATGACAATATAGGTAGGTACCTACTACCTAAACGCACCATCGAGCCTATCCCTTTTTAGCAACACGATTGAGCAATGGGCATAGAATATTTTATATTAGCCACATTCACATTGCCAACATTTTGTAATTTACCATTTTAACTTATTATTACACCATTGAAGTGCTCATTGGAACAACCGGGCAACTCAATTTTATCAAAATGCTCAGAAAAAGAAAAAACATTTTTTTTTTAAAAAGTTTGAAATATTGTTTACATCAATATTGTGTTTTTTTTGTGTGTCACCACCGTTTGAGGCGGTAAAACTGCTTCGATTTTCTTCAACAGTATCTTGTTCGATAGGGAAGTGAATCTAATTGGTGCATTCAGAAGGAAACATTTATTAAATTCAATAGTTTTCAAAAGCGTCGGAAAAAACAACATAAAAATTAAGATAAAACGGGAATTTTTATGCAAAATCGGTTTTCGACAAAATCAATTTTGGTTTTTGGTGTAACTCTAAAACAA